AAGCATTCATTTTTTTCAGTGTAGCAGACCAAGGTGGTAACAACTGAGAATAAAGAAAGCACATTTATAAATAGAGCGGGACTTTACAGAATATTGCTGGTTCATTTCAACCTGGTGTGTTACCACTAATGTGGCTATTGTGGCTCTGTGAGGCATGGTTTCCAACTAAAGATTCAGCCTTTGAAGATCATTTGAGTCCTCTGTGTTCTAATAACAATGAGACGTTGTAAAGGTCAAGACAAGTTGGAAAATGCACGGCTTGCTGAAAGTCAACGATTCTTATTGGCTCTTATGAGACAGACATTATTAACTGTATAGCCTTTCCTGCTTTTCACTAGACTCACTTGGAATTCATGTTTTCTAGAGCTACACATGGTGCATGTTTTGATACCTCGCAATGCTGCAAAAAACATAAGAAATAGGTCAGTTAAATGCCTTTGTTTAGAGAGAAGACACAAAGCTAAAGGAGCTGTCATGGCAGCTGCCGCAATCTTTGTATTTTGTTGTATTGTTGTGTTTTCTGTCCTCGTTGCCTCTCTGCTCTCTTTCTGTTAGTCCCTCTGGCTGTGTCCTGACCTGCACTTCCTTCAGTAATCATCCACCTGTTAATCACTCTCCGTAACAAAAAAGCACCAGAACTCTTTGCTCGATTGTCTTTGCATTCTTGCAGTCAAGTTTTTCAGCTTTTTCCAGGTTTTCTGCTTTATGTACGACCTTTGACTCTCCCTGGATTTTTTGCATTTTACGTGCCTCATGCGATGTTGGTCTTGGTTTCTTTTCACCGATTCACTACTTTCTGATCTGTGCAAGATCAGAAACCTGCAGCTGGTTTCTAAGGTCTTCTGATCCGGTTTGTTAGTTGGTTTTGTATCAGTCTCGAAACTAAAGGTTGGAAAAAAGGAAAATATTGTGAAATACAACATCAGTAGGAGACAGATTATGGAATTTTTAAATGAATAGTCAAACAATGAAACAAATGAGTTACTGATATTTACTTTTTTTTTATTTGCTGTTAATATTTAACATAAAAATACATTACAATTGTATTATAGCTTTCAACATACAAAAATATATATATGTTCCCTGACCAAGTTTACAAAATTGTTCATATTTAAATCCACGTGGTTAACAGGTAAGTGCTGCTGTGTTGCCAGTAGATGGTGATCTTTGCACATGATATTCCTGCTCCCAGAGGGACTCCTCTCCTCATGCATGATCTCAAATCCATATATACAAAAGGCAGCGATCATTGTAATGTGTTTCCTGTGTCTGACTTTGTATAACAGTGGTGATTATTCCAGTTGCTGGAATGCTTTTACAGCACAGACAGTGAAAGTCAATACAGGCTGGAGAGCCTGGAGTGGAGCTGCACTTTCACTTCTTAAACAGGAATTAAAACTCAAGGGGGTGGGATCGAGGAAAGCAGAAAGCTAAGTAATACAGTTTTATGCACCAAAAAATATTTAGCATTATGCATTTATAAACAGCACAGTTTTTTTAAAAAAAAGCACTTGTAATAATTTGTTGAAAAAGGTTTATACTCAGTTGGTAAAAAATTAATTTAAAGATTGTTTAAATAACTGTCAAATGTAAACGTGAGGAATTATTTGTTACAATAGATCTGTTGTCAGCTGTTATATGCTACAATAGATGTTGTTTATTCATACTTGTAGAAGTGTGAGTGCTGTGGTGGGTTTTGTTTTTCTAAAGAAACCTTACATCCTCTTGTCTGTTCCTGTTGGCCTCTTTCGTGCTAATAAAAAAAGCAACATGTGGTCTAGTTCTGTACACTTGTACACTTTACCATACTGAAAGCAAGAACATTTTTGAAATCCCATAAAAAAGAAAATACAAAAATGAAGCCATTTTTAGTTGCTGATATAGAGCTTCCCTCGATTTACATGGCCTTCCTGAAGTCTCCAAACAGGTCAAACATTCAGCTCCTACTCTGCTGTTCGCTGTGCTGTTGAAGAACTGAGTTTAATAACCTGAGTTACAACAGAAAGAGACAAAACAATACAGAAGAAATGCATTTAGTGAATTAAGCTGGAAAAAGCCCACCCACTTAAAAAAAAAAAAGCAACTCTCAAAAGCGTAGACAGGAGGCTGTTAGAGGAAATGTTACCTCAGACCTCCACCAACACATCTGAGCAACAAACTGCTGTGGCATCTGATTTGCATATTAGAGCCACTCTTTGTGTTGCCTGCAAATTATATGTTTGCCGTTTGCAATTTACCGATATAACTCTTTTCTTTTTGCCAAGAAGTTGGTGTCTAATAATAGTCTGAGAAAATACTGAGGGATTTATTGTAATTAATCAGATGATGAGCGGGGGTTGGACTGAGTTTCTGTTCATACAAACATGAAGGAAAATGTATAGAACGGAGCATTGCTACAGTGTTTGACTTCATGTTAAACCTCATATTAGAGCTAGAAATGTTTCACTTTGTTTTGAGTGAGAATAAATCAGCCAAATGAAATCAATCAAATCAGCTGCAGTGCTTTGATTTAGAGCTGTTTGAAACATGACTGAAAAGCAGTGGTTAAGATGCCACAGCGGAAAAGCAAGCAACATAACACCTACACTAAGAGACAACAAACAATGATTTTCAGGAAACAGCTTTTTTTTTAAAAAAACTATGTAACATGTATATAGATATACAGTGTCAAAAATGTTCAGCCCCTTGGAGGTTTTCCCATTTTATTGTTTCTCAACATTGAATTTAGTTAATATCATTTGACTGTTTTTTTTGTTTGTTTGTTCAAACAGGAAACCACTACTTACAAGTAAGACTTTTTAATATCAAAGTGAGATTTAAAAAAAAAAAAAAAAGTAATTCAAATTATTAAAAATAAATACATTAACCCCCATCAAGTCAGTATTTAGTAGATGTACCTTCGCCCTCAATTACATCTTTGAGCCTGTGTGGATATTGTTCAATCAGCAATGCACATCTGGATGCTACAATTTTAGCCCTGTGATTGTGAGTCCAGCCACAAATTTTCCGTTGGATTGAGGTCTATGTTCTCTAGAACATTCACCTTGTTGTCTTTAAATCATTTCTGTGTAGCTTTGACTGTATGTTTGGAGTCACTGTCTGGCTGGAAAACAGCTTATCTCCTAAGTTGCATTTCTCTTGCAGACTGCA